CCAACACCATACATAAATGCATGCTTGCATTCAAATGCAAACACTACATAAAAACACACCCCTACACACACTGACAGACATACACACAGACAGACATGCACACACACACACTGACAGACATATAGATACACACTGACAGACTTACACACACAAACATACTCCATACAAACACTTGCTTACAGTCAAACACACAAATACTGCTCCGTGCTAAATGCAATACTGCAAGCATGGGGAATCGGTAGAGCCCCAGCTTTCAAAGCATTGTTGAAGTTGCACGACAGATGAGGATCTATCTTTTAGCCACATTGTGTACATACACAGACATACATACGCAGTCATACAGAGACATACAATCTGTATGTCAATGTATGACGGTCTGTGTATGTATTCAAAAGGAATACATCCAGGCAACACTCCAATAGTAAGGATGGTATATTTATTGATAGGTGAACCACCCCATAGAAAGTGCGACGTTTCGGCTCAGCAGAACCTTATTGCATGAGCTGAAACGTCACACTTTCTATGGGGTGGTTCACCTATGATTCGAATCCTTACTATTTGAGTGTTGCCTGCATTTATTTCTTTTGAAGACTTTACTGGTGGATCCAGCGATGTCCGCTTGACACGGAGCATCCACCACTGTGGATGGCCCAAGCATTTACACGGTATCAGTGTGCATGGTTCTTTGTTTGTCTGTGTATGTATGTATCTGTATGCCTTGTCTGTATGTCTTTTTATGACTGTCTGCGTACGTATGTCTCAGTATCACTGTGTATGTATGTCTTGATATGCCCATCTCTGTTTCTTTATGTCTGTGTCTGTATTTCTCTGTGTGCCTGTGTCTGTATGAATGTATGTCTGTGCTTGTATGACAGTGTGCCTGTATGTGTAGATTGTATGACTGTGTTTGTTTGATTGTGTGCCTTTTATGACTGTGTGTCTGTATATCTTTGTGACTGTGTGCCTGAATGGTTGTGTGTCTATTTGTTTGTGTATTTGTGCACATGTATTTTTGCTTGTATCTATGTCTATATGGGAGAAAAAGAGAGATAGATAGGGGCTGGTGGGAAGAAAGAAACAGAAAGGGGGGGCTTTTTTCATCTTCGCCTGTGTAGTGAAAAATCCTTGCACCGGCCCTGACCTCCCTCATACACTAATGCTATGTTTTTTATTTAGTATTAGTAAAGTTAGCTGAAAGACCAGTTCTAGTCTATAAGCTTTTTTGTAGTTAGCTCCCTAATACTATGGGGATTAGGGAGCTATCTACTATACTGCTACAAGATGCGGCCCATTTTGGAATTTTATTCTTCTGAATGAAATTCTGAACCGAAAATAATGAGCGAATTTCATCCGAACATGAATATACACACTGTCGACTTTTGGTTTGGATGAAATTCTGTCAATTCGTCGCCAACCTAGTCTACATTTTGGCAAATGGAAGCAAAGCGAGAACACGGAGGAGGGTGAGTATTGTGGGAAACTTTCTTTGACACAGGAAGAGCACTTTACTTAAAGGGGTACTCCAGACCCCTAAAACAATTTAGATTGGTGAAAAGCTTTATGTGTGAAGAGTGTATCCTTTTTTTCATTTTGGAAAAAGTGCAAATTTCAATAGAAATTGACACTTTTACAAATTAACCTGGTTACACCCACTTGGCATTCAAACAGACAACAGGCCATGTTACTTCCTGGTTTGGTTAGCTCAGTCAGCTAAACTCATAAGCTGCAACTGCCCAGACCACCTGCCTTGCAAAGACTTCTCATTGAGCTGCATTGGGAATTCTGTAATTGAATAGTCTGGGTGGGGTTAGTAGGGGAGGGCTTGCCAAGGCTACAGACAGGGCCGGACTTTCCCACCGGGATACCGGGAAATTTCCTGGTGGGCTGTCGGCACCTGGGGTAGCCTGGGAGACAGCTGTGGCTGTCTGTGCTGGCGGCTGCTGTTTTCTCTGCTCCCCAGCGTGCAGCTTAATGAGACCGGGGCCTAAATATGACGTCCTATTCTGGACCCGGTCTCATTAAGTAGCGCGCAAGGGTGGGGGAGCAGATCTGAGACAACACAGCTCCCCCAGGGGCCCCCAGCACAGCTCCCCCGGTGGCTGCAAGCACAGACAGCTGTCTGCTCACAGGTAGCAATTATGTATGTCAGTGTGAGTGTATGTGTGTGTGTCTGTCATGGTGTGTGTGTCTGTGTCATGTAATGTGTGTGTGTCTGTCTGTGTCATGGTGTGTGTGTCTGTCTGTGTAATGTGTGTCTGTGTCATGGTGTGTGTGTGTGTCTGTGTCATGGTCTGTCTGTGTCATGGTGTGTGTGTATGT